ATATACAAAGGTTACTTAAGTTTTGTGGCCGTGCACTATGTCTTTATTGGCCTAGTTCTATTCTTAAAGATCAGGATGACCTAGTATTTCATCATCCCCTAACGTTAGCAAATTCATTCCGTAATTTGAATTGTGCAATAGCTTTAAACCGCACGTTTATCTAAAATGATAGAGTGAGCTGAATAAGTCATGAAATACAACAAATAGTGTCGCCTTTTAAGCATCTGCAATGCTATAATGGGTCTCAGTGGGCTGATGCCACTTAATTTAGCCCCGGTCGTATCTGGAAAGAATTTCGATTTGCTTACGAAGCGATGATGTATGAAGTTATGTATGAAATAAATTTAACTGGAAAATTAAAAACCGAACCAAATGCGTACCTACTCACAAGTATTTGTCCGTTTCAGTGAATCTGTTCGTCAATCAATAAAAATAGTAAATTTCAAAATCGCTAAGTTTACTGTTAATTGATAGGCCAACGGATGAACAGAGATGAACGGCGGATAGCTATCAACTAATGAAAAAACGCAACTGATCTGTATAATTTACACCTGCAGCAGTAGCGTTGAGACGTGTTAATCTCGTTAAATTGTAACAATCTACGTCCAATTTACAGTTTCCACCACTTTTTCACGTTTTTAGTGACACATCAGCGATCAGGGCAGCGATGCTTCGCGTGAAGGAAGTTTTGTAAATAAAAACTGTGTAATAAATTGTGTAGCTCTAGACAATTGTATGGCCCTTATTATTTAAATGGCCAGCGTGCACCTTCTTTTAGATTTAGACAGCAATATAACAAATAACGACACATCTTGCTCTGGAGGAGAAATGATTTTTAAAGAAAGAGCAGATGATGAAAATGAACCAGAAACTAAAAAGCATAATAATATAAGGTTTGTTAGCTCCGGTTTTACAGGATCTGAATAGCAACTTTCTTATTTTAAACAGAACACCTTATATTTTATTACATTTTCGGAATCTACATGAAAATTTGGTACCACATTTTCCTATACTCAGCATTAAAGGTTTTCCAGTTATTCAAAATTCTTTTCTAAATTTTTGAGGTTTGACTGCTTTTTTTGCGCCCTGTACCTATGGCTCCATTAACATGAATTTCAAAAACTCTTCGAAAATCAACAATACTGATGTGATGCTACATGCGAATGATCGAAAAATCTTAAATAAAACGAAAGCTAACAGATATGTATAGGGAATGTAGGTAATCATTGTTCGATGTAGAATTTTTTCGACATTTGAAAGTGCAGTGGTTTCATTTGAATAAATCAACTCTTTAAGGTTTGAGTTATCACAATTAACCATTAGTCTTAAAACAACCTGTAGAAGGGCGATTAAAATTTAAATCATTTTTATTGAGTTAACTTGAAAACCATTGATGCTAGGTACCTATAGGGAAATGTGGTATCAAACGACATAGATTTCCACGTAGATTTAGTAAAAGCAATAAAATACATGGTGTTCTAATTAAAATAAGAGAGTTGCTATCCACATCCGATAAAACCGGAAGTGAAACGATCATAATAATATTTTGGCATGAAAACTTACAGATTTAAATTATTAATGGAAGTCTGAATACTTTCAGGTAACAGTTTGCGTGAAACAGCCTGTATAACATTTTTTGCTGAGGCCAACAGTTTCGGAACTACAGCGTTCTAAACTCACGAATAAATATGAAATTTCATTACTTGCTCTGTTTGACTGTTATGAGTGGACCTATCTTTCGATTTTAATCGTATTACTCGTTTCCACACCGCTCTAGAGGAAGAGCTATCAGGGCGCTTTTTATGTGATATTCCCTGAAGGCCTAATCCACAAATCCAAATTCGATTGCGACGAGGTCCTGGACGTATGTCTGTCACAGGCAAATCTTGGGCAGCTCTTCATCCAATACTCAAAAAAACAATATGGCGTCCATATGAAATAAGAAAGTTAATGTGATGTACGCGAAACCCACAAATCGTATAGACTTGTTATTTTAGCACCATCAGAAAACTGAGAAAAAATCGGTAAAAGGGTTTGTTATAGTTATTAACGTCATAAGGCCGATATGTAGCAAATAACGGACGTGGTTGAAGTTTGTAAACCGAGGCGTCAGCCGAGGTCTATATTCAACCCAGTCCGTTATTTGCGTATCGGCCGTGTGCCGTTCAAGATTTTTCGTCATCCCATCATCTGGAAATTATATATTTTAACTTCATAAAGATCCATCTTTTTGTAATAGTTAAATATAATAATTATCTTGATCATGGTATGCTTATGGTCACATGTTAGCCTGCGGTTGTCATGGACGCAACTACTTAAAAGTAAACAATTCGTTAAAAACGCGTGCTGAGAAGCTGTACGACGTTTTTCCAAAAATATGCACGAAATTTAGGAAATATCAATATTCCTCCAGACGTATTAGCAGATTCCATGGCTGCAAGTGTTGATTTGCTACGAGAAAAAACAGGGAGCGATATCATTAAGAATATGAAGATTTCAACTAATGGCTTAAGATTAAGAGGATCAATTTAGTAAATGAAGACATGTTATTAGCGTACGTAAAAGGAAAATCGGAAATGTACTCGCCCAATTCATTGTGGACAAAAGTTTCGAAGCGATTAAAAATCACCAAACAACTATTTCAAAGTTCCGATGAAAACGCTGAAATTACAATATCCATAGCCACAGATTCTTCATAAAGTGTAATATTCACAAGTGGTCCTCAAGTTTCCTACGATGGTCTACAGATTTCTAGCAATAACTGTTACTTTAATTTTCATATCCATTATAATAAGCAGTTATATTTCAATAAAGCATTGTTCCTTAACGGCCGCATATGCGTCCGTTATTTTTTTAACGGACGCTGTTCGTTACGAATGACATTTCACTTGTCAAATGAGTTGAGTTAAATTGAAATAACAGTATGGGATGACGAAAAAACAATTTTTTGACATCTTTGAATATAAATTAACGTATACATTTTACAAAATGACATTTTTCAGTTTTTTGGCCATCCTTTGCTATTTGTAAAGCTACAAGAATCTTTAAATGGGAAAATTAATCAGTAGGTATATAACTTTACCCATTTAAGCGACTTTGTATATTTTACGGTTTACGAGATCCCATAGTGAAAATGAAAAAAATTCACCCTGTATATGAAAACCAGGATCGGGCACAATGCAGCTAATTCCGGAAGATCCCAGCCTTGTGTCAATCCTTGGTTTAAATTGTGCGATTTCAAATAAGAAAATAAAGTGAATAGGAGAGTGCGAAGCATATAAGGTAATACCTATACATTTAGTGCTCTTATTAGTGGGAAAAGTGTGTAAAATCAATTGGTAAAATAATAGATAAAACCAGTTTAATAACCGAACATTGTGCTCTTATCGAAAATTTTGATTTTGAGTAGGGGGAAAAGTACTCTAAGCAGTTTAGACTGAAAGCTGATAAACATGAAAAAGTAAAACGATACGCTAATTTTATTGGCAAGTTTGTTCGAAAACTTTCTAATTTTATGATGACTACCTGGATAGTTCGAAAGTCATATCTGTTTTTATTTTAAATTTTATTAATTCGCGCCACTTGTTTATAGTAAGAATTTTTCTCTTTATAGGTAATAGGTAATATTTTTTTCATCAGTTTTCTCTTTGTATAATTAATCTCAATCCTAATACATATAAAACTAGACGTCCTTTTCTCTGCCTGTCTGTATTCGTTATCTAGCGTGATTACAATTGGAGAGAGTGAAAAGGTATACATTATAGTACATATAGAAAAATTGAGTGTCCTCTCTCCTAGATGAAAGTAAACCCCAGAAAAGTGTTGCGGTAGGGTATATTATGAAATCCTTAGCACGAGCGTATATATTTTTATTGTAACTCGAACTCAACACTATGGATCTGTGGCTGAAGGCATAGATTCCAAATACGCCGCGATAAGAGTAGTCGCGAATGCACGAACCTTCTGTACAAAATTTGTTCTCTGTCAGAGTAATGTTAAACCTATTGGTTTTTGTTGTTGTCATGCCAAATATTGCGCATTTGAAAAATTTTCACAAATGTTTATTTGGTTTGGTTATTTTGATCGTATCCAGGTACCAAATTTCGTCGAAATTACAATTTCGTCGCACTCACGGGGGAAGGGCAAAACCGTTAATTCATTGCGAATGTTTTTCAATCTTTGTTACAAAATTAGATTATTTAATTTTCTACAGTAAACAATGTGGCAAGCAATTTTTAATCACGGAAAAATTTGAAATCGGTTTGTTTGTTGAAACCACATTTAGCACTTTGATCCACAACTTATACTGTTTTTACCCTGGAGAAAAGAAAGTGAAAACTTACAGTGTTCAGTCCATAATCCTATCTTTAATTTTAAAAAAAGACAGCTGATAGGTACCTGCGCGAATTACTTTAGTTCTTCCGAAGATTCTAAATCTGGACTTTGGTTTCTTTCGAATAGTAAGTTGGACGAAGGGAAACAGACCTGCTCATGCGCATTCTAGCTTTTATATTTGTTTAGAAGAAATTGTTAGTACAAACACCTACCCACTAATAAAAGTAAAAGGGTAAAAACCCACAATTTAATTTGATGTAACACGGGCCGCCGTCCCGTGTTAAAAATAGGCTCTAGCGGTTGTGATGGAATTCGTCAATGGTTGACATAATTCGCCATAACGATCGTATTTACGGTACAAAATTTTCATTTTAACGGTCCATAATTAGCACTTGGCGCCTGCATGCAAGACGTTATATAAAGCCTATATTCTCTGTCGCGGATTGAAAACTCATTTCCTATAAAGTGCAAAATTCAAACCACTTGGACAGGTATATTACGGTATAGTATCCGTAATTGAGTAAATGAAGTGGGTAGTATTCGCCTAACAGTTGCACCTACCTTTCAGAAGACGACTTGATCTTGCGCACGTACTACGTCCAAAAAAATGGATCGTTAGAATAAAACACTCAGGTAATTTGTAACATATATTTATTTGAGCTTCTCATTGCCTTTAAATACAACAAATCTTGAAATAAGAGATTGATCTTATTAACACAAGTGAAGAGCTTTTTATTTGTTAATCAGCTACGCGTATACATTCTTTTTATTATTCAGTATAGTATAATATTGATAAATATTTATTTAAAAATCCTCTTGGAAGAATCAGATTGCGACATACGTATACGAATGTTTTAATCTTACTTAAAATTTACAATTCTTAATAAATAGAGATGAAGTAACTGAGAGTTCTTTTCTACATTTACATTTTCTTTTAAGTAGATCGAATGTTCATGAGTACAACTGAAATTTTCAATCTCTTACACAATGGAACTTTTAACAAGACGTTCGCCAAAAAATTTAATTACAATGTAGAACGTCCATAGAAATTGTTTCTTGTAACATCCTAAATACTGAATACTTAAAGTAGGTTTCTGTACAGTGTAGATGAGTTTTTTTTGTATAGTATAATCACCAAAGAAATTTGTAGTACCACAATTATATTGAAATATCACTAGACTAATATTATTACTATGGTCTGCAGTAGCAAGATATGATATCATCACAACTTACAAGGTCCGCCTAGCGGCCTTTAATTAAAATATTTTCATCTGTACAGGTAGGAATGCTACCGAACTTATTAAATACTGGAGAACGAAACTATTTATACATATTTACTAGAAAGCTGCTTGGCAAGTTCTGTGTATTTTAGGAATTTTGAATGGGGACTTTCCTCAAAGTTACCGGTGATCGGCGGACTTTTGCTTCCGGTAGGTGCTAACGCCGCCGAAGTGCTCGATCCGCTACCGTTTCCGCTCTTCAGGTTTACCGGGCCGCTAGAACTCGAAGGTTGGGGGCTTTTCAAGGCGACCGGATCCGGAATGACGCCGTCTTTGACGAAATGCATTTTTGACAAATGATGCCGATAAGCTCCCTTCGAAATGAAGGGGGTATCACAGAATGCGCATTTCATAATTGAGTCGGAGGTCATGACGGCGTCGTTGCAGGCCCAACTGAACGCTAAGATGGCGCCGGGAGTCGGGCCGCCACTTTGTGTTACGTTATGGCTGCTGGGAACTGCCATGTTTGGCGGTGCCGATGCCGACGCGTTACTCCTATTCGTGTGGTGTGTTTCAGTCTTATCGCAAAGCTTTTGTAACGCAGCCAGAGGGTGACTACTGGTTCGTTTCCCTGAAGTGTTTGCACTATCTGCGGAGGTACTGGCCCCGGACAAGTTATCAAACATCGAGCTTAAAGCTCCCAAACTGTTGTTACCTTTTTTATCGCCGTTTGTGCTTCTCGGCGTGGTCGATCGATCACTACTGGCGGGGCTACACGTGCTGTTTCTACAAGGACTATTTACATTTCCCGGGTCGGCAGCAAGAGATTGCCGGTGTGGACTATCTACAGGACTACTCTTCATTCCATCGCTGCCTTTTGTTTTCTCCGCATCGGGATCTTCTTTCATTTCTAAAAGTCGTTTGGACGATCTAAAATTACTTCTGTCAAAATCCTCGCTACTGTCCGGTACCTCTCGTTTGAGACAAACGCCTTGACCAACTTCTGAAGGATCGCCGTCCTCAATTTCCTTTTTCACGGACAACTCACCATCGGACTTGTTTTCGTAGGCTGCTTTCTCGGAGCATGGAGATTTATCTCGCTTATCGGGTGTGGATCTAGGTGTAGATGTGATAGGATGATGCAGCGCCGAGTCGATTTTTCGCTCCGGTGTAAGCGCATCCACACGACTGCCTCGTTCCGAAACCGAACTAGACTCACTCCCGCTTCGTTCACGTTTTGAGTAGTGATGACTTTGTTGCTGGTGGTAGCTTCGCAATAAGTTCATTGTTTGCGCATCCACCAAGGGTTTCGTATAATCTACGCTCTCATCGATTCCTAATCGTTTAAGAATACTGGACCCCATCGGTGCCGCCGAAGGTCCATGCGCAGCAAACCCAGAATTTTGCCTTGTGCGTGAATCGAAACTCTTTTCGATTAGTTTCTCAATTGCATTCAACACAGAAGGCGACGAACCATTATTGTTTTCGGGAGTTGAAGATCTCTTACCGGTTGCGAGATCGGTTGGCGACTGGTGGATCGGTGTCGATGGCGATTCGTTGTTTTTGCCATTCTCTCTGCTCGGATTTTGACCAGAATCTAGCAAACTTTCGGGTGGTAAAATGCTATTTGACAACAAAGCACTTTTTAAAAAGTTCCGTTGACTACTTCCTAAAGCACCACCCCCGACGCACTGTCGTATATGATCCACGAAAAGCGAAGTGTCAATTTTATCACCACATTTTTCACAAGTTATTCTTCCAACCCCGGCAGTCTTTCCAATAATACTTGCGGTGTCCCCGTTTTTAAACTCGTGTTGCGCCCTTTCTAACTCCAACAATTTCCTAACTGGCAATGATTTTTTTCGTTTCTCTCGCGTTTGCCTGCGTCTCCCACCGTCGGTAATAGATCGCATGATGTGCTCTTTATAATGAGAGTTCTTTACCATGTGATTACTGAGTTCCTTTAGTGAACTAAAGGCTTGGTCACACACTTTACAAGTTAGTACAGCGCTAACGTGACTATTTGCACTACCCGCACTACCACTAGACGCGCCACCGGCGCCACCACCACCGCCCCCCTTCATATCATCGGAGGACTTCCACGAGATTATCTGTTCTTGGGAAATTATATTTGTATAATGCTGCGTTTGTTGCATATGACTAGTCATTTCCGCTAAAGATCTGAAACTCTGTCCACACCACATACACTTTAAAATTTGGCGCGTCTGTTCGGCCCCTTTTCCAAGCCAAACGTCCTGTCCCCTAACTAACTTTCGAGGTAATGGCATAGTCTCTTTTATAAGTAAGTTTAGGTCGGATTGGTTCGGTTTGTTAGAACTGGATGTCGAGGAAACGCCTGAACTTGCGTTGGACGAGGGGGATGAGATCGGAGGTTGAGGAGGTAAGTTTTGAGATTGCACCGAAACGGGAACGTTAACACCGCAGTGTTTCGCTTCCTTCATATGAGTCGTCATTGCCGCCAAACTGGGAAAGCTCTGCTTGCACCACACGCACTTCAACACGTCCTTTGCCTGTTCCGCGCCCTTGTTCAACCAATGCGACTGCCACGCACTGTGTCGACTGTTGGACGAATTCACCGACGCGCCCGTATTCGCGATCGATCGAAACAGATCTTCTCCGCCCAGCTTGCTGAGTTCGCTCATTTTCTCCAAAGCCTTGGTGGCGTCACTCGGAGTTGCCGTGCCGTATTTCAGCTTGCCGTTCCAAGCGTCGTTAACGGCGTTGGTCTTTGGTGAAAGGTTCGCCGCCGCTACCGCTGCCGCGAAATAAGGTAGGTGAGGTGCGGCTATCGGTGAGGCCCACTGAGCGAGTAGAGGCGATTTGTAGTCGGTTCGTTGCTTGCGCGGGCTCGGATGTGAGTCCATGTCCTCCGATCCCCTCTTCCTATTCGTTACGGACAAATCTAGCGGGCTGTTGAAGTGTGGTTCGCTCGAGGACAACGAATCCGCCTTGCTGAGGTTCATTATGTTCACATCGGCCTCGTCGGGGTCGTGTTTCAAGGATCGTTTACTGAAGTCGAGTATACCGGGCGGAGGCAACGAGTCGGGTGTAGGCGATGAGCTGGAGACGTTTAATCCGTCGGGTGGAGAGGAGGATGATATCAGAGGTGACGCGGACACCCTGTTGTACGATGGTAGTGGCGACGTCATCATCAGCCGATGCGAATGTTGCGCGGCTGCAGCTGCGGCGTTAAGGTAGGCTGCCATTGCCGCCGACTGAGGGGGTAACAACGCGGCGGCGGCTGCAACAGGTAACGTTGGAGGTAGCGCTACTCCTATGGGGCTTAGAGCGGTTGCTGGTAGCGAAATTCCGCGTAGGTCGGGCCGTTCCGAGTACAATGATTCATCGGATAGGCATCTGGGAGGTATTGAGGATTCTGCCGACTCGTGCGAATGGCATCGTGGGCTGATTTGATCTCTGTAAGTTAAAAAGCTTGTTTAGACACAGCAAGCGTTTGCCATCACAACTACTTACTTTTCCAGAGGTTGGTTGCAGTGGGTGGAATCTTCGCCCGAATTTGTGCTCTTTGGTGATAGAAGAGCACCCGGCGGAGGCGAGGAGGCCTCATCTCCACCAGGTGCAGGGGACGCGGCGGAATTAGGCGTCATTGTACCTGATTCGTCATCGGCGTCGGCCTTTTCGTTATCGTCTGGAGATCCTTCCCCTTCCCCTGTAACAATGGAAAAAACGAATTAACGCCTGCTTGCATTAATCACAACTGCGAAATGTAATAAAATAGTCGAGTTTATCGATTTCGTAATAAATTTATGAAAATGAATTTTCTGTGGAAATTCCTTTCTTCAATGGAATTTATACGAAACAATACTGTCACGATCGTTATCAAATTCTTTGGAGGTTGTCAATCAAAATTCAACTTCATTAACAAAGTACGAAAGAGGCAGGAAACAACATGCCTTATTGTCAGTAAATACGATTGAGAAATGTGATAAAATGAAATAAAGCGAGCAAATATCTACCCGACATTTGATTACAACATTGTTTGGAACTCGTGATGATACCAAAAGCGATTTCATTTCGAGATATTTTCAGAAGTTGTACTGCGCCCGTATAATTTCCCATTTTCTATTGCGTTCATTAAAATTCTGCGAAATAGTTGTAGTCAACTATCCAATTAGCCGTGCATAAACCAATAAGTAACGTTTCAAGAGTGAATTAAGAGAATGAGCGTACAAGTGGGTGCTCCGGTAAAAAAGGGAATTTCTTTTTTATTGTGTTACGGTCGTGTATTCGGCTCTTGAAGGAAAGGCGTTACAAACGCATCTCGCTGACCAATGACTTCTCTTCTCTGCTAAACATGTAGATACAGCAGCTTTTCTGAAACTAATTACATTGATTTATGTAGCTATTGTTCATTGTTGGTCTGTGTTTGGACAGCTTTGAGACATACGTGCACGCCTCTGGTCGCCTGTCCCTCCGCGAACGACCTTTTGCAGACCTCCCGGGGAGTGCGAGAGCCGCACGGGAGTTGACATCAAGATGTTTATATTGGTCTACTGAAGACATTCAGACCGGTTACGGGATCCGCCTTGCCCAACACTTTGTAGAGTAAATGTCAAATCCCCAAGTATAGGAATCTAATGAAACATGCTCCCGGTTGCTTAAGATGCTATCAACAAATTGTTCATGTTAAGCAGCAGTTACATGGCAAATCTGAAATCAGTGTGCATGGAGGACTAAAACTGCAACTTCAGTTTTACATAAATTGGTATGATCAGATCGGACGCACGAGTTTTGAGTCGCACATTCATTAGCAATGATCAGATACCGCCGCCCGTTCCCTATATACCTACACCGAGTTTACTCGTGCTTATAACTTTTTGCAGGTTCCCGGAATTAATTGCGGCCGCTTCGTCCTGGATTGCAGGTGTATGTGACGGACAAGGCTCTCTCCTCCTCTGTGATAAGCGCGCGCGGCGTATTAAAATTGAGCATAAATACTGTTCTCGCTGTCTTTGTGAGATACGGGCATAGCATGCAGATGCCAGCCTTATACGGGACAGGCACGACAAGAAATATATGTTGAAATGAAAGACAATGGCCCATAAATCTAAAAGGAGTCATAATAAAGGAATTAAACGCGAGATGGCTCGGCGGACTGCAGTTTCCGCTCTATATACAAACTTATTAGTGCTATTATGCCTCGAGCCAATTAACCAAATTACCCCACTGTTTCAGCAAGAAATGTGCTATCTGGGAATATTTTCCAACGAGACCGGGCAATATTTGTAAATTACATTAATTTCAAAATACCACCGTATAAACCTAAAAATTCATTCATTCTTATATTTCGGAAAATGTTACTACTTTACCCGTTGGGCCGCAACATAATTCACACAAAAATAACTAATCCTAACCATTAGTGATTTGCAGTTCATCAGAACATTGAAATATCAAGTGTTGCCACCTGACTTGGATGTCATTTGCTGCAAACCTACAAAGACGCTTGTAGCTTTCTCCTAGCCCTAGCCACAAAAAGTCCCTAGATTCGAACCCTAGATAAACCATACATATTTTAAGGTACAGCGAGTTCACTGGTTCCCTCTGCCGCTTAAGACCCTAATCCACTCGACCAAGACAAATATTGCAACCACTGGTGTAAGCCAGTTCGAACTCCCTTAGCCAAACGTAATGGAGATGGGCAACACCAATTTAAAGTTGTTTGGAACGCAATTATATCAAATATTGAATACTGATATTAAATACCGTGAATCAAATTTGTACCTACATAAGCCAACACTTCGTTTCTCCAAACATCCATTACGTTTACCTAAGAAAAACGACGTTTACTCCACAAAAAATGAACATGTAGGTATACATTTTATTGACGAAATTAAAAGGTTATATAGATTTTATATCAATCTCAAATCCCAAAGAGGATTTATCCGAAAAGACGCATATTTTTGCATATTCATTGCTTCAGTGGCGTAGCCTAAAGGGGCTAAGGCATGGCTTTACTGAAGGCAGAAGTCTGTTGCTTCCAAATAATATCGAGGACCGCTCGTGGTAAAAGCTAAAAGTAACTATGGAAAATTTGGAAGCCATTTTGAGCAATGCGTTCGTTTTTGGGCTTTTATTAATTTTTAAATAAAACTTGAAATGGCGAATTCTAACTCAACCAATCGATTTTTAATAAATAAAAAACCGTTGTTTAATTAAACCTGCAAAATCCTCTTCCAGAGAGATTAAATATATTCAAAAACACTTAAAAATACATATAGTAGACTGTTCAAAACTTTCATCGTTTATCTATGGAGACGTTTTGCAATTTATTTATTTATTTATTTGTTTAGCCAGATACCATACAGAATGCAAATATTCCAATTACATGGCACTGGGATGCTGTACTTAAAACTAAAACTACGTAGTAATTACGATCTAATATGACTAATTAATTCATTCAAAGAGCCGTGAAATATATCGATGTCTCTCTCACGGCACTTCTTATTTAAAGGTAACAGGCTCCTCGATAGTGGCGATGGCGGAGTGGTCACTAAAAAGATGATATCGATTTTCCTTAATTTAACATGTGGCACTTTGGGTTTAATTTCGGTACATGTGCCTCCTTATTATGTGACAAAGCTCAAAAGTTTTGAACATAATTAACCCATTATTGGCAAATGGTGATCCAGGATAAAATTTGAATTTACCTAATTTATTAATTAATTTATTTTATTATAGTTAAGTCTCAAGCATCAGATGCTAAGCATATCTATGTCTATATCAGATTAACCCAAATAGTTGTTGCATTTTTTTGACACAGGGTACGATGTGGAACTCAAAATATTCACCACTATAATGGTGACAAATCCTGATAGCACCTCGGGCGCCAATGAGTCATGCTACGCCACCAACCACAAGGCCAGGAAAGTTGCAACCCTTTGGATGCGAGATCACCCAAACTTTATACTGCTTATGCTGCTATGGTCATCGTGCCTCATTCTGCTTCAAGTTTTATGTCAGCGGGACCATTCCAGAGGTGCGAATTTTTAAAATTTTGTTGTCAAATTCCTTCCCAACATTAAAAGCAAGATTCTCCAAACTCCAACCCGATTGTGCGTATAACTGTTGAAAATTTCCTTGTTAGCAACGCATTGAAAGCAGGATTCCCCACACATTAGCCTGCTTGAGTTTGTGATATTACATATCTGGCAGTTTTTGAATTTTATCGTTCCCGCTTTTACGCATTTCATTAAAGGAGAAAACGCAGACTACACCACTGGAAGTGTTTTGACGGAATTGTACAACTCTAGTTTTAGCTGTGGCAGCAAAACATAGATAGTATTGCTAGTATGTGTATAATTCCCAAATATATGTCCTTTATCCTTTATTTTCCTTTATAATTACTGTAATTAGCATAGGATGTAGGGTAATTGTTTTGTATTACTTGCTTCAGGGGTTTTGCTTTATAAATTTGAATTTGCAAGGCCTTATAAAACATTGCGCAAAGTTTACATAATTTTGTTTTGTTTATTTGCTATAAATGGTACCTACATAGATATAATGTTTTCGCATGTACGTAGAAGTTTCATTGACCACGTCGCTTCAATTACACTTATAGGAATTGCGAGTTAGGAAAATCCCTTTAATTTTTACGTTTGGACGTCCGGGTGTGATTTATCATTTCTTCGGGGAAGGTTGAAGACTAGTACAGAGTGTAATGGAAATTTAGGGCATGTAGTTTTGATACGTAGGTAGTTAAAGTGGGACTTTCCACATGTGTAGCTGGCTTAAGGCTTCACTTAATATTAATATACAGGATGTTTATTCAATTTAGAGTATCGTGTAGATAGAACTTTCCGCATGTATTTTATAATTTACCAACCCGCAGGAAGGTGACCAAAATTCAAGTACGACTTTTAAATTCAGTTACGACTTTTGTGATCGGCTTGTGTGATGAGTCGAGGGTTTTATTTGTTTTACCAAGGGGCGTAATATATTTGTTGGATGAGTTTGCAGTGGTATTTTGCTGCTGTATTATTGTACATAAGTGCCAAATGTGATAATTTTTTATGTTGTTTGAATACTGTTTGTGATGGGTTTCGAAATCCTATAGGATATGCAAATGTCTAAAACCCCAAACGTACCCCTATATTGTTGTAACGGTGAGACAGATCATGTCCGATGTTTCCCGAGAAACCCGATTTGTCACGCTGCTCAGGCAGAATGTCCTAGCTAAAGGGGTGCCCCTAAGCTATTACTAACAAACAAAAATGATATACTACTTGTAATCAATGAAGTCATTAGAGCTATTCTCGTGTGATTATGAGAAGGCAACCCTGAATTGGATTAGATTGTTTCTGTTATTAACTTTTTAATTAAATTTCACTCCCCATTTCTTGCATTTTATTAATGTCGGTCGAGCAACACACACAGATTCTTGAGCAACTTGTACATCTACACAATGTAGATCCTATCACTAGACAGGTTCGTTACTTGACGATCATGTGTAGTTTTGGTGGGAGTTTCGATTTTTGGGTTTGAGTTGCACAGTCGCCTCTCGACTGGATTTGCATAATTACAAGTTATTATTTATCCACATCATCCCGGGTCACACTACCTCTTAGTCTTAGCCATGCACCACAATTAGTGTAACGAAGCACCTGTTTAACGCCTTGAAATTAGGTATCAAGAAGCGTTTTAAGTTACGCCTTACGAAGATTGCCGCTACG